AGTTCAAGACACGCCGCTCTATTTCTGTTGTGGGATTGTCGTGTCTCTTGGGATTCTGTAGCTTGTTAAATCATCTCACAAAAGAAAACGGGGGAGGGAGGATGCAGCGCGGGGTTGCCAGCTGTAGCCGGCTCAGCGCTGCAGCATGAGCCGCCTGGTATTTTTTGATTAGGAATTTGTGGTTGCTTCCATTTCTCTGGAAGTGCTGGACGGAGGGAAGGCAAAAGGGAAAGTCTTGCACCTTTCTAAGGAATTGTGCTTCCGCAGAACTTGGGAGTCTGCGCCGCCTAGATGCGTCCTGCTGATTTTCTCTGCGTCTAATTATTTTCTGAAAAATACTGTATTTTCTTCCACTTAATTCCATCTTCTCCAGCACTGTGGAAACAGTAAAGCTTAGCTTCAAATGAAGAGTGTGGAATGCTTACCTTAGCAGTGCTGCTAGTTCCAGTTCGCAATTCTGTGCTGTTGTCAGCTCCGGGCTGTTTTAGATGACATTCATAATGCCGCTCAGTTCATTGAATTTCTGCAGGAATGTTCTGCTTCCTTTTGCTCAATCCTCAAACCCCCATCCAGTCAGATGTAAAAAAGGAGAATGCATTGCAAAAGTGGTATTTGGTAAACCTCACTGAGAGGTTTATAAGCATTTTGCAAATGTTTTCAAATTTCAGTCCTCTTTTAGAGGTCGGTTTCCTCACCAAGCAAAAGCAGGGCAGCTTTTGCAGTGCTTCAGGTAAAATCCTACATCTGCGTGTTGGGTGACCGAGGTTTTTCTCCCTGACACATGTAGACACTTCCAGTTGAGAAATCTGTTATTAAAGTACTAGTGGAGACTGCATCTGGCGTTCAACTATATGCGTTGGAGGCTGAACGCAAATTCTCTTTTTAAAATGACTCCAGTGAGTGTTTTCCCTTCTCTTTCCTTCTGAAATGTCCTCATCTCTTCTGAGTTTTGTCTTTAGTTGAGCTAAGTGCCAAGGTCCTCGGGCACGGTGGTGTTTGAGCTGCAAATGCGAAGGACCTATGGGCGATACCATTTTGATGTTACCCTCCTGTTTGCCCTTGTCCCCCCCTACCGACACGCCGCCCTTGGACCACGTGTGGAGAGCGGGATGCTCCCCACACTGTACAGAAACCAAAGCTCCTGGAAGACACTGCTTGGCTTTCCCTGTCTCGATGGCTGACGTTTTTTTGCACTTCTTTAAGAAAAGCTTTGTTTGGATCTGGCCCCTGTAGGCAGTGCCAGCGTGTAGAGCCCGTGTTGTACGTGAACTCTGCTCCATTGCATGTCATCAGCTGGAAATGCTCCCGTAATGGGAGCAGATTGCAGAGCGAGTGTCTGTAATGCTTTTAAGAATAAAGGGCAGCGTATGCACTCAAACCAGACCCGTTGTTTTTTTTTTTTTTCTCTCCTGCAGCTATTTATTTTGCCTCCTGCTCAGAGGGGTTCTTTGATGTAGCGTAACACGCACGGGTGACCCATCCTTGCTGTCTCCCATTGCATAATGCAGGGGCTGACAGAGCCCTCTGGCACCCCCCACCATACATTAAGTTTAAAGAAATGCATTTCCACTGCCAGGAGGCGTCTGTAAGGGTAGGGCTGCCCTCTTCCTAGTGGGGAATTTGAGCTTGGATGGATGCTTTTCTATTACTGATGCCAACGTGATCTTGTTCCTTTATAGCGTGAAACCTGCAAGCCCAGAGGTTAAATGTGTGGTTGTCGTAGTTCTTACACCAACCTGAAACGACCTCCTCCTGGAAATGAAGAAAGGGAGTTGGTCGGCTGGTTTTGAGAGAAATAGATGAGCTTACCTTCTGTCTCTCGCAGTTCCTGAACTGATCCTTCGTGGGGTTGCTGTCAGTCTGAAAACTCAGATTTCCTGCTGCCTGCCCTTAGCCAGTCGCCGCATCTGCGGAGCGAGCGGTTCTGCTGTCTTCATGAAGAGAAGGAAAAATTTGGCCGTTAGAGGATGAGTGGCTGCACGGTATTGCTCCACGGGTTGAAACGCTGCCTTTTTCGCAGCACGCTGTTAACCTTACGCCGGCTGAACTGCCTGTCGGTGTTGGGCAACGAGGTTGGAGCTGTTAGCAATCTTTGTTCCTAATTATTGCTTCACACTGGAAATGAGCTCACGAAGTGGCAGCGCTTTACGGATGGGAGCTTGGGGTCTCGTACTGCGCAGAGGGCCAGGCACAGTCTCTGGCTGCTGCTGTGTGTCGGCCAGAAAGTCGGACTGAATCTGAGCATTTTCGCCCCAATCCCGTGTCAGTAGCTCTGCCGTCGCTGCTGGGTACCTTGACAGCAAGCGTCTGATTACGGAGCCCGAGTTCCGGCAGCTCTGGGGCTGGGATGGGGGGTTGTGCCATGTCAGCTGGATTGTCTTCACATGTCCTGCCCTTATTGATGTCCCCACTTTTTCCCCATCCTTTCTGACATCATGTACTTATGTTTGTGATCCTATGACTTTGAGGAAAGTTCACTTTGTTAAACTGTCTTTGCCTCTAATTTATCTGGTGGGATACAGGGAAGGGGTTGGGCTTCATCCTTTTAAAGTTTAGCTCTAACTCGTGTGCTGCACACATGCAAATTTGGCATTGCCGAATAATTTAGCAATAAGTGCTAAAGAATAATCCCTGAGGCTTTCAAGACAGAACGGCTCAAAGCTCCTTGTTCTGGTCCTGATGCTGTAGAGGAAAGGGAAGGCGTACTGGGAGGTGAGATGGCCAAAGGTTTGTCTTGCTGCTCGGACTTTACATGGCACCAGTATCCCCCAGCAGCTGCTTTTTCAGTTGTGTTTACCACCAGCTCTGTCTTGCTTGCAGGTATTAACGCATTCCTTCCATGCGTATTTCATTTAGTGCAATAGGATTAAGTCTTTTAATCTCTCTGTCCTGTATATGTGGTCTGTCAGTTTAGCATGCTCGGTAATGTGGAAAGTACCCTACTCCAGGGACGGGCAGGGATAAACGTGAGCCTTAAATGTCCTGTGAGCCACAACCATAAGCTCTTCTTTCACTGTTTGAGTGGTTCAGTGTGTTGTCTACGCGTCTGTTTCTTAAACGTGACAGAAGGTAAATTGGAAGTGCTGTAATTCCCACAGGTAAAGCACGTGCCCTCCTCCTCCTGGTGCATCGAAAAGTGCGTCTTTGGATTTTTTGCAGTGGGTTAGATGTGACCCAGGGATGGAAATATGCAGGATTTCAGTGTGATGGTGGGCACTGAAGAGGCACTTGTTTGCTGGAGTCACTTGTTTTACCTCCAGTACAAAAAGCCAAGGAGAATTTCAGAAAAAATTGCTTTTAAGCTTCTCGTCTGAGTGGTTGGACGTTATTAGCAAGTTGATGTGTAGGATGTATGTAAGGGTTCGGGGGAGGTGCAGATACCGATTAAATAGCAGCAGAACCACCTTGTTGCTTATGCGTCGATTGAAGCGGTCTCTGGAGAGCAAGGGGAAGGGAACCAAGTGGGACGGTGGCCAAAATCCTGTAACGGCCTCGGTGCTGATGGATGCAGCCGTCCCCATTTGAACGGCCGTGCTGGCCCCTCGAGGACTCGGCCAGCGGTCACCCCGCCGCTACCGGTCCTGGTGCGTGCACGTGGAGGTGGTTTGCTTCCTCTGCTGTGTTTGTCAAAGACGTATTCGCACCTTCGCCCCTTCCAAACGCCCGGATTGTCCTCTTGTGGGGACAATTCAGCTTTGCATCCCGCGGCTGGAGAAAGGGCGGTGTGACAGCTTTGCTCTAGAGGAAGTGATGTTTTTCTCACGTGCGCCAAAATTTTGAAAGGAAAGAAATCCAGATGCATGTCGGAGATCAAAAAGTCACTCTAGTAAAATTCACCCACCATTTTTCTTTGTTATTGTAATGTGACAGAGCTGTGCTGTGGTTTCCCCTTCCAGTCACACTCTCTTTCCTACCAGAGAACTAGCTCTCCTCTCTCAAAGCAGATTTGTGTACATATCCGTGAATTTTCGTTTGATATGACAATGAAATTTTAGTCTCATATTCTCCCTTAACTGTCCCTCTTCAAAATTTGAGTGCCAGGAAATTTTGGGTGGTTGTTTCCATTAAAAGTTGCAGATGCGTAGTTAAGATTTGCTGTCGAGTACTTCTTCACTAAGATCCTGACCTAAACTTGATCTAAAATCTGTTGAAACAAAGTCCACTGGGAAGCGCGAGTTGATACTGCAGCTACTAGGCGAGACGAAAGCGTGCGCTGCCACGTAGAGCTGTTCCTTGTGTGCAAACAGACCTATATGGGAGAATTAAAGGGAGTTTTGTGGATACAGCTGTTGAAAACACTTATTACACCCATAAAACTTGCTTGATACACAAATGCGGCTGCAAAATAAACAAATTCTCCCTATGAGCATGTCCATAATTCTGGAAGTTGCTCTTAGTTGAGGACACTACCCGTTCAAGGAGGTCTTTTCGCGCTGCAGCGTAATGCTTTTGGCAGGCTTCCACCGAGTTTGGGTTTCAAGATTTCTTAGGTACTTGTGCGAAAAAAAATATATGCACTGGGAAACCGTATTCATTTTCGTGAGCTTGAAAGGAATTTTCTGGAAATAGCTGCCTGCAATTACAGTGGGGAAAAGCACCTCCAGCAGGCGCTGAATTCTTCTTTGCAATGTACGTACTGCGTGTCCTCACCTGTTTGCTCTAATTGGAAACACGATTGTTGTTCCTTGATAGATTGACTGCCTGACTCAGCTCTGTCTGGTGTAAGCCTACGTTTCGGTCAGGAAAGAAGGTATGTTCCGACAGCGTGGAGAAAAAGAGACAGTAAGATCTCGTATTGCTGCCCTGCGGATCTCTGAAGGGAGTTTTGTTACCTCTACCGTTGAGTCCCGCTTTGCACGGGCTGACGCGATCTTAATCCCGTAGCTGCGAGACGGAGAATTCTGCTGACCGCAAGAAGTGAGTCTGTCCAAACCTCGACAGAATCGTCCCCACGTTAACGGTGTCGTCTCTGCAGAGACGTTGGCACACGCCTCTCTTGGCAGGAGCCTGGAGTGCTTTGTCGGTTCAGCGATGGTGCTTACCAGCCTGCTGCGTCCAGGCTCAACGGGCCCCAAGGGGCTGTACGTTTAATGCACGTGCCCCTTAACTTTGACTTTAACCTATGCACCGCGTCTCAAGTATCCAGATTTCCTGGAATGGTGTGTTCAAATCCCAGTAGGATCAATTTGTCTGCTCCGGCGGTTTTCTTCTTTTCATGTTTGAAAACTGGATGCTTTGCGCAGATGTTTATGATCCCAATGTTCTTTCCTTATAGGTGTTGCTTTCCTGCTCCCGCGAGTTAATTGCCAGGGAAATTTCTGCTTTGCAGCCCAGAACTAACGGCATTTCAGTGGTGATTTTTCACGTATCATAGCTGCTTTCTGGAATGGAGAGGTGTTAAAAGCAGCGTGTGAGTCTAAGCTGATGCTGAGCAGCCAGGCAGTGCTGCGCTCTTGAGCGTGTTAATTCTTGTGCGTGGGGTCAGTGCTCCCCCATTTCTTCTAGTTTTAGATTTTTTTTAAGCACGACAATGAGGACCTGGTGAGTTCCAGTGGGAGGAAATGTGGGCGGTAATACCTCAGAGCCAGTTGAAGATGACAGGCTCGGCATTGTGCTTTTTGAGGTGTCTGTGCGCAGTGTCTGTGGTCAGAGGGCTGACAGCCCTGTAAATCCAGATCTGCTTTTTAATTTACCCATAATCATCTGAGCTCTGTAATCGTTTTCTGATTCATTTTGCCATCAAGATTTATCAGCGTAACTTACTGCTTGCAGTGTGAAGGTATTTTTCCACGCTTCTCCTGACAGCTTTGGGAATACACTCTGCTCTAACTTCCCTCCTTCTTTCCATCTGAAAAGCTGGTTGAGAGCTTCAGCTCTCCTGAGGTCTTGCAGGCTGTGTGATCCAGGGATAGCATCCTTGCTGACAGTTCTTCTTGCCTGTGTTTTTCCCAAGTTTAGAGGCGCTTGAGAAGCACGTGTAGCGTTCGCTCAGATCATTCAGCTTCTTCCCTTTCATTTAAGCATATGAAGTTGCATTTTTAGCATTTCAGTCAAGAAGAAAATTTTGTTCTGAATTGTTGCCAAAAAAAAAAAAGAAAAATCAAACCCAACAACCAAACTCAAACAAATCCAACAAAAACAATCAGTACCTCTCCCCTTGCAGCCCCTTGGCCCTTAACAGAGCTCCTCTGCATCAGGTAGAATGTAATTTGTGTGTGGTTGTAAAATGCTTGGCAGCAGCATCGTGTTTGAAGTGCTAAATGTGGATTACTGTGTTTTATTTTCTCCAATAGAAAAATGGAGGCAGTAATGTTAGTGGGAGAATTTTATATACAGCAAACGCTTCCTGCGTAGGACTGGAATGTGAAGTGAGACTTCTGCATGTGTTTAAAATGTCTGGATTCTCTGCAAAGCATTATATAATTATCCTCTATATTAAATGGCCACCCACATTTTCTGTAGTATGTCTGAATTTGGTTTTGCAACTGATAAGATGCTACAGCTGTAAAATGACAATCCCAAGCTCTTAACTATTATGCTTTTAGAGGTAACTCTGCTGCAGTTACTGGAAAATACTAACAGAGGCAGAAAGCACATTTTTCGTCAGGTGTTCTACGATAAGCTGAAAGTGGCAGTCAGGATTGAGCTCCCGTTGAGCGAGGTGCTCTACAAACTCTTCAGGCCTGAGCAGAACAGACCAGGCAGATGCATGGATTGTACGTTCCTCGGTTCGCTGCGTGGAGGACAGTCGAATTTGGAAGGAATCTGCTGGATGGAGAGAAGAGGGGAACGTGAACGGCGTAGAGGATGATGGGGTGTACAAGAGTATAGGAAGAAGGCAGCCAAGGAGCTTTGGGTGGGAGCAATCATCCCAACTGACTGCTTGATTTATAGCAAAGAAGAATCTGGACGAAGAAGTTGAGGGGTGTAGAAGCCAAAGATCACCGCTTTGGCGTCCTTTGCAGCCTCTCCAATAGCTGGAATCTGACTGGATTGCTCTCCACGGTCTTTCCTGAAGCCTGCCAAAAGGGGCTGAGAAAGTATGGCTTGGGATCTAGCCACGTTCTCCCCTGCCCCAGGAATACTCTGCTTTAATCTTCTCCAGCCTTGCATCAGCAGTTTATTTTTGGAAAGACTATTGTATTATCTAGCGGTTGAGGCATGCGAGGAGAGGGGTCGCAGCTCTGTTGTGAGCCCTACCACGCCGTACCCCTTCCCGTCGGGGAGATGCGCGTCACGCCGCCTTTCTCACTCTACAGAAACGTTTCAGTGCGATTTCTAAACCTGCAGTCTTGCACAAAGCATTTGAGTTGTTTGTGTTACCCCTCTATAAGCAGGAAATGCCAAAAGAGGGTTGTGTTAGTATTGGAGGAATCTAGCCGTCGTATGGGTATTAATAGCGGAGATGTGTGTGTTGACTTGCTCGGGATGGCCTCGGGGCAACGCACGAGGAGTTAATCCGCCTCCAGCCTTAACCGTCCTCGTGATGCTCTGTCTCTAAGGCATTGAACTAAGTCTCCAAACATCTGGGACCGGTTCTCAGCTGCTTTAAACTTCCTTTGTGACCTTGGGCCAAGCCACTCATGTGCACTGGTGTCATGCCTGTAAAGCAGCGACAGCGCTGGTGGTGTCCCTTCAGTGTTGAGTGTGTAAACACCCAGCGTAGCGATGGCCTCTCTGCTCCACACGAGGAAGAGTACCGGTCCCTGAAGTCTCTGGGTGCTTCTGTAATCCAGATAAGTGAGACCGTAAATCAGCTCTGAAGCTCATCCTTTGACTTGAAAACATTGCATTGTTTTTGAGGCGGCTTGGCCTTTGCTCTAGCCCACTGACCCAGACAATTCTGTGAGTAAAGTTACTACAGTCAGGAAGAAATAAATGGAAAAGCGAGAGGACAAATATGGTCTTGTTTAAAGGAACTATTGGGTTTTATCATGACCTAAAGCAATGTGCTTTTTTCAGCAATTTTTACAAACAGGAAGCTTTATTTAAAAGGCTACAGCACTTGCTGAATCATGGAGCAAGAGAAAACTGAGCGGAAGAATTGGTTTGAACAGAGCAAATTTTGCAATTTTCAGAGCTTTTCTTCTATCCTGAGTGTTCAGTCTCAGTTGCCTTAAACAGATGCATCAGAAAGGTCGTTAGAATACTGCCCTGATGCATAAAAAGGGAGGTGAGATCTGGGTAATCATTTGAGAAGTTTGCTTTCATAATGGAGACTGCGAATATAAAAGCAAACCCCCTCTTTGATGTGAAGGGGTTTTGGGGGACTGGGGGAGAAAAGAAAGCAAACAGCGGTAGTAGTTGAATTGGCTCCAGACCTTCTCTGAGCTTTATTGGAGACTTGTATTTACAGCGTTCTCCTTCCTGTGCCGGGATCTGTGTTTCTGTTTAATCAGAAACAGCCCCAAATCACCCTGTACATAGATAGTACTCGCCTTTGTACTCTGCTTCTCTTGATGCTGTATTTCCATTTCACAGATGGGGACAACTGAGGTCTGGAAGTAGAGCTTTTCCAAAGACTACGTAGCGCGGAGGGGAGTGAAGCCCTCGTGGCTTCCAGAGTCATCATCTACACCCGGCTTGGGAGGCTCAAAGAGCATCTCAGGGGTCTGGCGTTTGGATTTCCTGCGTTTTGTTCTGTCTTGTCTATTTTTGCCGAAGGCAACCATTTATGCTGCCCTCTTTTGAATTACTTCCCCTCTGCCTTGTAAAATGAGGGCAACGGGTCCGTAAGTTGGTATTGTTAAGGTAAAATGATTCAGGCTTTACCATGTATGATCTCACAGTGCCATAAGTAAGTGCTCATCTCTTTCTCATTTCATTTCTCATCTGCAAGCCGGGGGAGGCGATCTGTCCTTGGGGGGGATGCCGGCCCTGGGCCTTGCCGCGAGCATCTGTGCCATAGTCCAGCGGGAGGGCAGTGGCTCGGAGGGGAAACCCCTCGGAAAGGGTCTGAGCCTGCCCAGCTGCTGCGGGCTCCGCATTGCCCTGCAGTGATTTCTGTGTCTCCATAAAACCCACTTAGGTGGTTCTTAATGTATAATTTTTATTGTTCTCCGTGTTGTGAATTGTGCTCGCACGGGGCTGAACCGAGCGGAGTTGGGCGCTGTTCTATATTTATCTGTCCGATAAGAGCTCCCAGGGTGGGCTTGGCTGAACGGGGCTCCCCGTACCTGTCAGCCTGACATCTCAGAGTCTTGCTGAGTTCTTCCTGTTGACTTACAGGTTGGGGGCTGACCTGCTGGAGAGCAGCTCTGTGGGAGGGGACCTGGGAGTCCTGGTGGCCAACAGGATGCCCATGAGCCAGCAATGTGCCC